AGTGAAGTGAAGCTATTTTAATGAGTAAGAATGACTCAAAAAATTTAAGGAATTGACTGATTAAGTCATTTCGTGAGCAGTATGCAGCAGGAAAGAGGGTTTTCTAAGAAGCAGAATGGTAGCAAATACTGGTAAATGGAAGTTGCTTTGTATTTAAATGACTGAGGACAAGACTTCTCAGTGACACTCATCACTTCTTGAGCTCCACCAGGGATGGATGCAGGGCTGTGCCTACACTGAATTCTCATGATGTCTCTGCAAGGAGGCGGAAACCTTTCCATCTCAGAGCCACATGGGGCCGAGGTTCAGAGTGGCGACCTGATTTGCTAACCTGACAAGGTGAGCAAGCAGCTGAGCTGAGCTGCAGACCTGTTGCTTGCTCTTTCCACCACGCCATCCTGACTTCCTACTGCCCCCATCCTACTGTGTGCAGGGAGCCTCATGGAGTCCTATCCGTACTAACTGAAAATCATGGTCTTGCTTTAAACCTAACATGCGTCAGTTAAAAATATGGAATGGATGGAGGGACACCAATCATCTCCCCCAGAGCTCATATTCCCAAGAAGTGCAGGACACCCCTGAAGAACAGGGTGCAGCCAAGTCAGACAGAGGGCCTCCAAGGAATTTTTTTAAAGCCCTGTCCTCACCACATGTCTGAGTTCTCCGTCTCTGCTCCCTGCCTCAGTCATTTTTTTCAGGACTGATCTGCTGATAGCATCTGAAGAAATGATGGGCAATGACATGCTTCTTCAAGGGTCACATTTACAGAGAAAGTCGCCATTTAAATAAAATCTTACCTCCAGTGTCCTGCTGAAGACATACATCTCCTCAATGTTCATAGAAGCACTATTTATGATAGCCAAGACATGGAAGCAACCTAAGTGTCTGTCAATAGATGAATGGATAAAGAAGATATAGTATGTGTGTGCATGTGTGCGTGCTCAGTCATGTCTGACTCTTTGTGGCACCATGGACTGTAGCCTGCCAAGCTCTTCTGCCCATTGAATTTTTCAGACAAGAATATTGGAGCAGGTTGCCATTTCCTCCTCCAGGGAACCTTCCCAACCCAGGGATTAAACTTGTGCTCCTTGCATTGGCAGGCAGGTTCTTTACCAGTAGCATCACCTAAGAAGTCTATATATAACATATATATATATATATATTTCACTATATATAGTGGAATATCACTCAGCCATAAAAAAGAAATAATGCCATTTTCAGCAACATGGATGAACCTAGAGATTATTACACCAAGTGAAGTAAGCCAGACAGAGAAAGACAAATATCATATAGTATTGCTTATATGTGGAATCTAAAAAGGAAAAAAGGATTCAAAGGAAATTATTTACAAAACAGAAATAAACCTATAGACATATAAAAGAAGCTTATGGTTACCAAACGGGGAAGGGAGAGGAGGGTTAAGTTAGGTGTTTGGATGAACAGATACACACTACTATATATAAAATAGACAAACAAGGACCATTGTATAGCACAGGGAACTGTACTCAATATTTGGTAATAACCTATAAGGGAAAAGAATCTGAGAAATGACTTAATATAAATGAATCACTTTGCCATACATCTGAAACTAACACAGACTTGTAAATCAGCTGTACTTCAATAAAAGAAAGCTTAAAAAAAGACCTGTGTCTCCCTTCATAGCATTGCATTGTAATGTCTAATCATTTGCATTGGAGTTAAAGGATGAGGCAAAGATTATTTTAGAAACAACTGAAAGAACAGCCTTTTTCTTTGTGAGCTTTTCTTTTTCTTTTTTAACCCATATTGAGCACTGCTTTTACTATGAAAATTTAGTTGCCTTCCTGCACAATAATGCCCCAAAGAAAGGGAAGAGTTGGAATGGGAGTGAGTTGAGCTTCTGGGGTGACAAAGGAGCCTGTTGCTAAGCTAAGGGGTGTAAAGCCTGAAGACAGAGGTTCCCACCTCCGTTTCACTGGGAGATGGTTCAGTTGCACCCGGGGGTTGTGGGCAAGTTGTCAGTGACAGGTGATGAGAGGACTCTCACAGGAGAAACTCTCCTTCCAAAGGAAGATGCTGGCTGAGTCCCCGAGTCTGTGTTTCAGATTCCTGGTCAGGTGACTCATGCATGGGTCACCCTGCTGTTGTGTTCCAGGCTGCTTGCTATCTTCATTTCACCCCTTAATTACCTTAGGGGGAAGGGGGAAGTGAGACTGTCCATTGAAACACTCTCAAAGATCTGCAAAGCCCTCCTCCAGGGATCTGGTAACTATGTGTTTATGCATTTCATACGTGCGAAGTGGGAACGTGAGAACTCAGAAAGGTTAGGATACTTTTTAAAGTGCTTTCTGGAAAGCAAAAGCTTGTCTCTGTCCTCTTGCATTAATTATAGACATTTCTCTGCAGAGTTATGGAAACAGTTCTATAGCAGGAGTTCCTGAAATAACAAAGCCTAAAAAAGAAAAACAGGCAGCTCTTTGTGAAGTGGATGTGCTCCTGGTGGTTCTGAATCTACACCCAAGGCCACAGAAACAGCTTGTTTTTATTTCAGTTGAGTCAAACACTTAGGTGCATGACTAACCCTTCCACATAGACTCAAAGAAAGGTCAAGTTGGATTTTCAGATCTAGATCAAGATGGAACAAATGTATATGTAGTTCAAAGCCCCAGTGGCCTGTGATATGACATCGGCAAGAAAACGGCATTTGGATTATCTAAGCTGTCTGTTCTCCCTGAGTTGTTTGAACAACCTATGTGCACAGCTCTCTCACGGACCTGCTTAAATACTGAAGGATGAATCTCTTGATTCCCCCAATAAGATGTCTTTATGAAGTTCAGATAAAATAGAGGCGAGTGTCAGTTTTCCATAAATTGACCACCTCAATGGCGGAAAAGGTAGCAAGAGGAAAGAAATTGGACTGCAGATGAAAAACAAATGTGAAATTTTGGACTGAGAGCATAGATGCCATAAGCAATACCCTCCCCTGCTTCCGTCTTCTGCCTCCGACTGAATTTCCAGTGCAAATGAAGCCCAGCTCCCACGAGGAATCACTAACTACTTTTTTGGCTGTTTCAGCATCTTTTCACATCATGATGGGAAATGTTGAAATTGCATTTTCCTGGGATTTTTATGCCAGAGAGAATAAATCATGCTGTTTCGCAAAAGAAAAAGAAAGGAAAAGAAACAATCACATAAATAACAGGGTCAGGCGGAAAAGAAGTCCTCGAGGCAGCTGTGAACCAGGTAATAGGGCCTCAGAGAAGGTCACTCACCCAAGCATGTGCTTTTCTGGGTCCACAGACTCTAGAGTGACAGAGTCATGCAGGGCTGAGGAGGGAGGGTGCAGGCCTCAAGGAATACTCGCTTGACGAGCTCGGATTTCAGGTGAGCTCAAATGCAAATGATGAGGGTATGCAGGCAAGATCCAGGCTAGAAGGGGATATGAGACCGTGGGTCAGTTATCGGGGTCAGCCCCACACGAGGGCTGGGGCCATCCTGGACCTTCGGTTCGAATGACAGAGGCTGAGCCTCAGCTCCTGGAGCTCCTGTCTGGCCAGGGATGTAGATGTAATGATTGTAGTGAGGATTCTGACATGCACATTGGTGGCAGCCGATCAACCTAACTGTCCCTAGGAGGTCAGAGTCCTACCAGTGGACTAAGGATGTAGTAGAGAAGGTAGCCAATTAGGAAGTGGCCTCACAAAGACTGGGAAGGCAACTGAAGCTCCATCCATAGGGTGAGGCTTGTGGGAGGATCTATGGAACTAGAGAAAGAAAGGCAGGTGCTATTGGTTGCCTCAGAGGGGTGGGGCTAAAGTCAGAGCCCCAGAGGTTGATGAGTCCGAGGTTGTTTGTTTATCATCCATTCATTCTTTCAATTGTACAATGAGCATCTATCAAACATCACACACTATCCTAGGCAGTGTACCCTGAGAGGAAGCCATTCGCCACTCTCTCAGGGGTTTACAGACAATGGGAGAACCAGAAAGGAAAACCAGATGGTGACGGTCCAGGATTACAGAATGAATCAACAGGAATCAGAGCTGTGTCTTAGAGCATCTAATTCCAGCCAGAGGCTGGGGAGCAATGAGCAAGTACCATTTCTTTGTGAGACACTATGCTGCCTTCACATGGGATTTCACTGAAGCCTCACCACAATTGTGTAAAGCAGGTGACAGTATTCACATTTTACAGATGATGAAACTGAGGCTCAGAGGGGTTAGGTCACTTCCCAAATGCCACACCGGTAGGGAGAGCTGGGGTGAAGTCGAACCCAGGTCTGTTTTGGCTCCTAAGACTGTGCTCTTGTGAACAATTCAAAGCCCATAAATACAGAACACACACAGCCAGAAACACTCTCTTTAAGAGACTTTTAGGATTGTTCTACCCAAAGACACAAGAAGAGAAAGATAATAGAGAGTACAGCATGAGACCGAGGAAGAATTAAAATAGTGCTTTTAATATAATTTTCAGCAAACGTACAGTAGGTAGTTTACATGACATATTTCTAAACTGCTCATCTGGAAAATATAAGCTGCAAAAATACAGAATACCACACTCAAAATCTATTGAGTATGTGCTTTTTTCCCCCCCTCTGTTCTATGAAACAGGGTAATTTTTACCCCCTCCTATTGAAATCCAGCCTTGGCTGCTTTCAGAAGAACTGTTGGAGCCCCCGCTCAGAGAAGCACTTCCAAGAGGGGGTTTTCTAAAGCATGTCAGCAGGCCATCCCCACAGGAGCCAAAGGAGGGGTGGGCAGAAGAAATTTGCACACCAGGCCAATAGGACTCTTTAGTGATCCAGGAAAATGCCTACTCCAAGGGTTTGGAGGACTCTGGGCCACAGACACCTGCTTGGTCCTTGTCACAGGCCTGTGCTTGGGGCCTCAAAGGACCACACACTGGCCGGACGGCCCCCACGGGGACCCTTGGGTTCTCAGACAGGGCAGAGCACGCTAAGTCAGGCCTGCGAGGTCTGTGGGCGGTGGCGGGCTCTTCTCTGCAGGAAGAGGGCCAGGCCCTCAGCTTCTCACAAAGGAGTCTTCTGAAGGTGACTGTGACTCGGGGCAGGTTTTCTCAGTCTCAATGTCTTGGTACTCTGTGCCTAAAGGGGGAAGGGGGGGAAGAGAGCCAAGAGGAAAAAGAGATCGGTCTTTTCCAGTTTTCCTACTTATATTTTAGGCTTATATAATAGCATGCTGGCTTTCCAGCGGGATGGATAAGAGCAGGAAGTCAATAAAATGCCAGCTTGTGCTCCACATCACCCCAGGGAACCAGACTCCAAGCCCAAAGACCTTTATGTAGGCCGAATCTTTCTGAGAAACATTTATCTATACGTATCTATGCCAATGCCCATGCAGATGTTTATGGGAATGAATAAGATGCAACTCCGTCATGAACTTATCTTCATCTTATCTGAGTCACCGGGGACAGATCTTGTGTTCCAGGACCCTATCATTGCAATCTCTGTTGAAGAGGTGACTCTGGGCCAGAGAGAACCTCTTGGCATCATAATGGCATGCTTTCTCCTCCAGCATTTGGGGCCAGTTTACTTTTCATTCAGCCACAGAGGGTCACCACCTGCTGAGCAAAAGAATCTCCTTGTTGGAGTGAGGTTTTTAAGCCTCTGCCATGCTTCTGAAATAGATGCTGTGGCTTCACTTAAAAGGCATGAAAAACCCAGCTTAGTCCCTATCATGATATACAAGCCATGGAGGTCTCCACGACCATGACATGCAGCCTTCCGGTTCAATGAGAGCTGTAGTGGAACCATAGAATCCTCACTCGTTTTCCTGTCTTCTCTAGACTCTGGTACAAATGATGGAAATGTCTCTCCTTTCTTTTGCAGCTGAGATCTGGCTTACAGAAAAAGCTGGACAGTTTGGAGCATCCTTTCTCAACTTTCACAAGGTCTGAGTTCTTACAGTCCTGGGGGCCCTGTTAGAAGCCAGGGGGGCAGGGAGTCGGGGAAGGTGGGATAGATGTGAGAGAACTGGGGTTGGTTCTTGTGTGCAGAATGAATAAGGTAGAAGACAACGAGGAGCTGGTCAGCTTTTGCCGACATGGCCCAGAGGGAGAAGGGGAGTGTTTTTAAAGATCTCCAGCATTTACTGAAGGAAAAAGGAGTTTTTTCTTATTTTAGACTTCTATGCCTGTAGACAAACTCTGAAGTTTTCACCTCCAGCTCTTGGCTCATTTCTCTATGAAACTATAGACTTCTGTGGTGGTTTCCAATAGTAGATGCCTTACAGGCCTCATCAAATCTTTCTGAGAAGGCAGACCTGTGTTCTCAGATTGGTGGCTTTTGGAGTGTCATGGAAAGAGCACTGGTTCAGGAGTCAGACAGACCTGGCATTGGCCCCTGGTGGCTTTCTAACTAGCTGTGTGACCTTGGGAAGCTTTGGTGTGCTGAGCCTTGGTTTTCTGATCTGTAAAGTGGGAATGATGATACTGACCTCACAAGGGAGGTGTGGGAAAGTTGCTAAGGCCCCTGGCAGGAGGGTGTGTGTGTGTGGGCTTATCACTCAGTCATGCCCAACTCTTTGTGACGCCACGGACTATAGCCCACCAGGCTCCTCTGTCCATGGGATCCTCCAGGCAAGAATACGGGAGTGGGTTGCCATACCCTCCTCCAGGGGATCTTCCCAACCGAGGGGTTGAACCCAGGTCTCCTGCACTGCAGGTGGATACTTTACCATCTGAGCCAGCAGGGCATGCGGGTAGCAACCTCTTCATAAACATGAACTCCCAGCCCCTTTCCTCCATTAAGAGGCTGGGCTAGAGCACAATTTTTGTGTTAGTTGAGTTTCTCTTATAATGAAATTTCCTATGGTGCCTACTTCTACTTCATTTTATCGCCTTCGATGATAAAATCCAACGGTTTTGACAAACCCAGCACCGTGAGAGTTACCTTCTATTAGGTTGGCATGAATTTAAGAAGACCATTATTTTCTGCGATTTAATGGGATGGTAAAATCTCAACCTACAGAATGTTAAACCTCCAGAAAATTTACTATAGTTGTTCCATCTGCTCTTGGTAAGAGAACATAATTACTTTACCTTACAGAAAAAGACTCAGAATGTATGCTAATCTTCAATTATTGATTGGCCTGAGACATTAATACAAAAATTGAAATGCCTAGAAACTCTATTCCTAAAAGAATAGTACCTGATCACAGATCAAGACATAGCTCCAACCAGTGGCCAGCATCAGTGTCTGATGCCCTGGGCTGGAGTCGAGTTCCTGAAGAAGATGCTGAGGACCTCAGGGGTGCCAGGTGGGAAACAGTGTCTGGGGTTTCCCACCGATGCTGTTGACCAGCACTGAGGACTGTCTCCCAGACATCTCAGCACTTTGAAGTTGCGTTTCCAAATGCATCAGAGCAGAGGCGTCTCCTGGTTCCTCTTACCTGCCTGCGAATAGCAGAATAACCCACGTGTGTTGATCACTCGGCTCTGTGGTTAAGTCTGGGAATAACAACAGGAAGAACGGATGTCCCAGAATACATCTGTGTGCTACAATACAACTGATACAACCTGTCTGAGTTGTTAGGGGGAATATGAGAGTGCAGGGAGCCCTGTAGTCCATCTGAGTAAGTCTTCTGAATAGGAAGTCCCTACAGGAGGAAAGGGATCCCTCATTTCCTGCCCAGTATGGAGGGAGAATCCAAAAAGGCAAAGAACACAAGCTTTGGATTTGTTGACCTGGGTTTGAATCTCTGCTTTGTGACTCTGAGCCAATTCTGAAAGCTTTCCCAGCCTCATTTTACTGTCTTGTAAACTGAAGCTTAGTAACAGTTTCTGCCGCACAGGACTATGTATGTGTGTGTGCATGCTCAGTAATGTCCAACTCTTTGCAATTACAGTCTGCCAGGCTCCTCTGTCCATGGGATTCTCCAGGCAAGAATACTAGGGTAGGTTGCCTTGCCTTCATCCAGAGGATCTTCCCGACCCAGGGTTCAAACTCGAATCTCTTGCATCTCCTGCATTGGCAGACGGATTCTTTAACCACTATATGCTGGTTCATTGTAAGTACTTGGTAAATGTTAGCTCCTGTTATTAAATAGCTTTTTAGTGCCACTGTTTCATACTGGTGGGAAGGAGGGAAGAAATTTGAAATACTATTCAGTATCTGGATTCACTCTTTTTTGTCGAGTTCCTACATTGTCCCCTCCCATGCCCACTTCCATCACTTAACAAAAAAGGATGATTACTCTGGTAGAGCTAGGGAGTGAGTGTCAGGGCTGGAAGAGACTGTAGATTGTATACTTCCAATTCCCCTCCTTACACAGGAGAAAGATAACGTTGCTTTCATTGTAAACCCTGACAATAATGGGATACTTACCTCATTCTTGGAAAATGGGGTACTTGAATCACAGTCTTTCAATGCATGACTCAGCCTGGGCTACAGCAGCTTCCACTGCTACAGTCCACTGGACTATATGCCATGCTGCTTCAGACCTCGGTGTTCTCCAGAACAGATTAGCACGCTACAGCCTTCCCTCAGCCACACCCAGAGACTGACTGTCTTTATAAATAAAGCTTTATTGGTGCACAGCCCACTCATCTGTTTCCACATTGCCTAGGGCTGCATCCCTGCTCTGACAAAGAAGGAGAGGCTACAGAGATTCTAGGGCCCTGAAAGCCCAAATGCTCGCCACCGGGCCCTTGCCGGAAGGTTTCTGAACTTGCTCTGTTGGTTCTCTCAGTGGAGGGTCTCTTTCCCTGGATCCCTAACCCACTGCTCTTAAGTTCTTCTTTTCTAGAGCATTAGGTCTTCCTGATTCTTGATGCCACCAGGTAGAACTTCCCAGCGCCCTAAAACAGCTTTGTTCCCAGACATAGATAAATAGACCCTGACTGTTACAATGACGAAAGTAAAAAGTGAAAATGCAATAACTTAGTTGTGTCTGACTCTTTGCGACCCCATGGTCTGCAGCCCGCCAGGCTCCCCTGTCTTTGGGATTCTCCAGGCAAGAGTGCTGGAGTGGGTAGCCATTTCCTTCTCCAGGGGATCTTCCTGACCCAGGGATGGAACCCGGGTCTCTTGCACTGTAGTCAGATTCTTTACTGTCTGAGCTACCAGGGAAGCCCTATTCTATTGCTTTTGTGTTCAGGTCTGTTTCTCTTTTTAAACAGTGAGTTCTTAGAGGATGGGGCCATTAACCTTTCTACCTGTTTCAGGGCCTGGCACATAGTCAAAATTTTACAGTGAATAAACGTGGTTGGAAAACATCAAGCTCATATAGTGCTCCCTCAAATGGCATTAATCCTGCAAAGGAAGACTGTGTTACCACATGGATGGTCCCTGAGAAACATGAGCTTTGTCTTTATCTCCACCACAGTCACAGATTTCTAAGGTGCTGGTGCATCCAGGCTTCTCTGAACTCCCCATTTTAGGCTTTTCAATTCATGTCCTCCCTGCCATGATAACTGAGCACTCTGAGGTGAGACAGGGGAGGCATGGGTGAGGGCTGTATTCAGAGAGTGTAAATTCCCCAAGTGATCCTTGGTTTAAAGAAAAAGTGAAAGTGTTAATTGTTCAGTTGTGTCCGACTCTTTGCGATCCCATGGATGGTAGCCTGCCAGGCTCCCCAGTCCATGGGATTTCCCAGGCAACAATGCTAGAGTGGGTTGCTATTTCCTTCTCCAAGGGATCTTTCTAACCCAGGGATTGAACCCAGATCTGTGGCATTGCATAGAGGATTCTTTACTGTCTGAGCCACAGGGGAAGCTGGGATCCAAGGTAACAGGCCCCATAACAAGCATCTGAACAATATCTTCTCTGCATTTTCTGCCAGTTAGAGAGTCCTGTTTCAGCAGCTTATTCTTGAGCAGCCATAATACCCCAAGGGAGCCAGGTTGAAAGGCTATCAGTAGGACCGTTTGTTCTCAGAGAATTACGTCCTCATAGCTATTCAGAATTCAAGAACTTGAACTGGGTTGGGAGAGGTGGATAAGGAGGAAACAAGGAGGGAGGAGCAGAGAGAGGAGGAAAAGGGCTGTATTTACGCCTCGAACTAATTTCCAGGCCAAACTGAAATTCACTAACACCCTCTCTTGGAAAACGTGTCACCTCTGAGGGCGCGGATCTGGATTCTAACCTAAAGGGAAACGCACATCATGGCTGAAAGGAGGCTGTTGAGAGGCAGTGACGTGTGTTCAGGGGAGCAAGCAAGCCACTACTCTGTCCAGTACTTTCTCCTGGACAGATACTTTCTCTAAACCATCAAAAGAGGGAAGAACAGCACAGGACAGCAAATATTCTGTCTTGTTGGACTGAAAACCTGCTTGTCTGGTTTTCTCCCCTCATCCAAACCAAACCAACCAGTGAGATAGGGTGACCACCCCCAAACAGGACAGAAGTTTATCCTGCCCGACTGCATAATCATTGTATTGATTTCGACAGGTTGGCCTTTATTGCTTCAAATCACTCAGGAGTGCCTTCGGGACTCCCAAGCAGGGCTTAGAATACAGGCCTGGTGGGCTTGGCTGGGTGGAGAAGAAGCCACGCTTCCCAGGACCTGAACAGTTGGCAGCAAGAAAACCAGCCTTGTAGGCTCAAGGGGAGCCAACCACTACTTTTCCTCGGAGGGTTTCTCAGTGAGAGAGAGAGAGAGAGAGAGAGTGTGTGTGTGTGTGTGTATGTATGTGTATATATTTCCATTTTACACTCTCCTAATAAGCAACCTGCTTTGGAAGTATGGAAGATAATCCATTAGCAACTATGGTGGAATCTTTTTCCTGAGAAACTTGAGTGGTGTGGCAGTCATCCTAGGGACTGGCTGGCTACCCTGTGTGGAACGTGTGTGCAAGTCCCCTCAGGAAATCTTGCCACATCTGAGTGCCTTCTGGGCACCAGGGACTGGTTTTGTGGAAGATAATTTTTCTACAGCTGGGTGAGGGGGGAAAAAGAGGGGAAGGTTTAGGTGGTAATGTGAGCGATGGGGAAGGGGCAGATGTAGCTTCACTTGCTTGCCCACCTACTGCTCACCTCCTGCTCCGCACCCCGAGAGTTGGGGACCCCTGCTCTAGGTTATTATTGGAGATGAGAAAATGGAATCGGGGATTTGAATGTATAGACACCACGTAGCCAATGTCTACAAACTATCACTAGGCAAAGCTATTCTGCTGGAAGGTTATGAAAAAGAAGCAATTTTTATGAATAAGCACGTTCCCTCCTGCTCTGAAGACATTAGGGAGTCTGTCAAAGGATTCCTCAGAAGCTCTCTGTTTCCCCTTATTATTTTGCCTGATAAGCGCTGCCAGCAAACTCCTTAGGGGACCTGTGAGCAGAAGCCTCTCTGGCTCCTTCGTTAGCTGTGAGAAGAGCCCCTGTGCGCAGTGGCCTCCCGGAGTGGAAGTGTCTCCAGGGTGTCTGGGAGCTTCACAGCATCCCTTGTGGAGGCGTGAAGAAGTCAGGCTTTCCTGACAGCCCACGGACACAGCACGGGGAAGACAGCAAACCCAGTCCCCCCGAGAGACAGAGACTCCTGCAAAGTGTGTTCCCTTCATATGCAGGAATAATATGGGTAGAAAACTTTTTGATCTATATGTAGGAGTGACAAAAATCTGTCACAAGTTGCAGCAAAGACAGCTTTCCTCCATTCAGGCCTGGGCGCCTTCCACTGAAATGGTAGAGGGTTTGGTGGCATGGGAGAGAGGACGTTAGCATTCACACTCTAGGTTTATTCCTTCCCTCACTGCTTTTGTTTTCTGAGTCCACTGGAGGTCTTCCTAGGAAATCTTTCCATTCAAAATCCTGCTCAAAACCAAAGAAGCCAGGGGCTGGATCGGGCAAGGTACGTACAATGGTTCCTTGTGGCACAAAAGAACAAACCTAGACTAGGTTTTCCTGGTTCTGGATCCAGGAGAGAAATTTAAAGTTTGAAAGGTGATAATAACACATGTTAGAAGCACCTTACGAGAGGAGACTTTAAATTCCAATTCAATTGTTGATAAAACTAAGCCCTGGAGTTGTTTTCCTTTGTCATCCTAACATCTTATTCTCACTCAGCCTAAAATCTTAGGCAAAATAGCCAAAAAGAAAATAGTTTTCAAAAACCTAAAAAAAAAAAAAGCAAAGAACCCCATGAAACATGAGGTCTTGCAGCCTCAGTGTCTGTGGACCGAGTTTGGAGAGCTACACAATCATATCCAAGAGGGCAGTGATCTACTAGCAATACATTTTCAAGACAAAACCAACTCAACACCTATATAGGATAGAATCACAGCCTCAGAATCCACAGGGTGTACAGAGTTTATGAACTGGTTGGAGAATAACCCCATGTTTAATTAGTTAACACACTGATGAGTGTCCCCATTTTCAGGAACAAGGAGGGACTAGAGCAAGACGGGAAAAAGTTGTTTCAGAAGCATCCTGTCCCGGGGAAGCAGCTGGTCACGGTGGCTCTGCCCTGCCACACAAGCTTCTCTCTTGGGCATCCTTGCTCCACATGGCCTTCTCTAGTTTGGGGCTGTCACTGAAACTGCCCCAATTATGGGTTTGTTAAAAATTTGGCACAGCACCCACTCCACTCTTTCCTGATTCTCTTCATCTTCTAGATAACCTGCAAATATGTGTCTGAGGTTAAAAAAAACAACCAACCAACCAACCCACCCTTGGAATCTTCCCAGAGCCAGGAGTGGCCAAGATAAGGACGCTGCAACAGCATGAAAGGTGGGTTACCTGGGCCGTGTGTGTGTGCGTGTGAGCACACCCATGCTCTCACATGAGTTCTGCCCCGCCTGCAAATGACTCACCAGGCTGAGTCTGCTGGCTGCAAGAGAGTTTCCCTTGATTCTTAACCCAAACAATGTTCCCTTCTAGCTGTTTGAGATTCAGCCACTTTCAAAACACACACACAGACACACACACACGGCTTCTTAGTTCAAGACTGACCCTGAAAACATTACTGACATTTTCAGGTGGTGGATGTCCAGTGGCTTCCAGGGGCTTGTTGGTCTGTAATCCCGGACACCACAGGCTGTTCAAAGCATGTGCCCGGGAGCTATTCTTTCTCTCCTCTCCCCAGAAGCCCTGCACCCATACACACAACATGCCGCTGAGCGTGTCTTCACCACAGGTGGAAAAGAACGCCTCTTGGCATGTGAAGCAGGCATATGAAAGGGGTTCCCATGACAGCGCTCACTGAATCATGGGGCATAAGTCGAGAAGGCAAATTTGCAATTCATCATGTCATCTCCTCTTGTCTCGAATGTGATTCTTTTAAAGGCAAGCTGCATATACACTCTCTTTCAAGCATTTTTTTTCTCATAACACACTGTATAGTCTCGTTCTCACAGACTATCCGAATGAGGATAAAATGATGATAAAAAAATTACAATAGATTAACTGCATCCCTTGAATCACATTATATTTTTGGTGCATTAAAAAAGGAGAAAATTAAAAGCAACCAGCATAATAAATTCGGCCTTAGAGGACTGTGTTAGTGACTGAAGGGTTAACACAGATTTGAGAAGTAGTTAAAAATAGTATCAGAGGATTATACATACAACAGTTTGAAATTCATATGCAATGCATTTTTTTTCCCCTTAAAAATGGCAAAATGTTTGGCAAATGTAAGCAAATGACTTGGACTGGGTTGGGCTTCACCGGCTCTGAGCGAAGTCAGTCATAGCCAGGCGAGACCCACTGCTTCCTGAGGTCATTCTGTGGGGCTGGTGGGGGAGGGGGGCGCCCCCCGATGGGAGGTGCTGTGGGGGAGGGAGGTGCTGGCCCTCCATGCCCGGCTCCCCCCCTGGGGCCCTCAGTCTTGAGAAATGGAAATGGAGCTGGTGAGAGGTGCCAATTACAGTCTCCAGCACGGATCACCCTTTAGCATCGCTGAGAGAACTCTGGGGCCTTGAACCACTGGTGTAGACTGGGTGAGTCGTCTACACCGTGGCCCCTATTGCAAAAGTTAGAGAAGCGGGTCTCCACTCCTCCGACTTGGGTGCCCCTCCGCCCCCGTGTGGACGGGCACAGGGTGTGTCACTAGTGCTTATCCTGGCAATGTTGTCAACTTGGGTGTTTTTAGTAGATTTTTTAATATGTTTTGTTTGTTTTGTATGTGTATGTATATCCGGAAAGGTCCGTCCTCCAAGCTGGCCACCAGTGTTCCCTGAATTTGGCAGTGCCTGTTGCTTGCAGCTGTCAGCATCCTGAACAACCACGAGGTGCCTTCAAAAGCAGACTCTGAGCCCCCAGGAGGTCGCATGTCAACCACGTGATCCCACGCTCTCCTTATCCTGAATCCTGTCTGGCTCTGATTTTGAGAAAAGGACAAAGGTGCTTTGTATATGTGTGTGTGTGTGTGTGTGTGTGTGTGTGTGTCTGTGTGTATTGAATTTTTTTTTTTTTTGGAAACTTTTTTTCATTTTTTTTTTCTTTAGGAAAAATGACCCTTGAAGGACTAATACAGAGTTCAACCCTCCTTCAGTCACTATAAAACAGACTCCATGTTCTCACACCACTCGTGATCTTCGAGGTTATAGATAAATTTTGTCCTATGTGTCTGGTTGGCGGGCACAGGGTCCCTCCCCAGATTGTCTAGGGTCAGAGTAGAGGCAAAGAACTCACTGGTGCTCAGCCCGCCCTCGTGGTTCTTGATGTATCGCTTATAGTTTTTCCGCAGGCACTGCCACGTGGTGGTGTAGAGCAGGAAGGCAAAGGACTTGAGCGCGATGGCGATGCTGACGTACAGGTATCTGTAGGCCACGTTGTCGTAGAGGGCGCAGGCGCCTTGCTCCCCACAGAACGTGCTCCAGAACAGGCACGTGGAGTCGATGCCGGCCCCGAAGATGAGTGGCGGGGGGATGAAGCCTGTAGGGGGAAAGGACAGTTACTGTTCTGCTCTGGGGGCTGGTCCGGAGGAGACAAGGGCTCCCCGGGTGTGTCTGCAGGTGTCTTCCTACGGGACTGCAGGGTTCGTGGGCCACATTCAGTGGGTCTACAGCACAGTGGGGGAAGGACCCCATCCGGAGGTTTGAACCTAAGCAGTTAACCTAAGCACCTCAGCCTCTTACTTCACAAATCTGTGCACGTTATTTAACATAAAACCTTACTTCACACATCTCTGCCTTCGTTTCCCCATCTGCAAAACAAAGTTTTTTTATAACAGTATAATATATACTATATATTATATCAGTCCTTCTCAGATCACTGTGAAAGCCGACTCACTGAATACATGCAAAGCATTTAGAACGGTGCCTGGCACAGAGTAAATACAAAATAAATGACAGATGATGACCGATGATATTGTTATCATCATCCACGGAGAGTCTGAGAAGAAACAGTCTTCTCTGAAGGGAGACATTCTTGGTGTCGCTCAAAGAAGTGCAGCCTTGTAGAGAGAACGGTTAAGAGGCATCATGTTCTGTGTACTGTCCTTTTGCCCGGGGCTTCGTGTGCTCTTGAGAACAGGGAGTTGGAATCAGAGGGGAGCAGAAGGTGACGATGAGTGTACTGTACTTTGCTGCTGCCGTTTTGTGTCTGACTCTCTTGCAACTCCATGGACTGTAGTGCGCCAGGCTCCTCTGTCCATGGGATTTCCCAGGCAAGAATACTGGAGTGCATTGCCATTTCCTCCTCCAGGGGATCTTCCTGACCTAAGGATCAAACTCACCTTTCCTACATTGGCAGGCAGATTCTTTACCACTGAGCCAGAAGGAAAGTCCACACTATACCTCATGTGTGTGTGTATATACATATGTGCACACACCTATACATATGAAGGATGTATTCTCATACATGTATATATGCACACAGATATAAAAATATACATGTATGTGTGGTTCAAAATGGAAAACATCCACATACACATAGCTTTCTTTCCCCTAGACATTACCACTGGAGCAGAACACTTTTCTTTCTGAGCTGGGAACTGGTTTTAAAAACCTTTACAATAGATCACATTATATCATGAGGTATCCCATCCCAGACCAATGAAATCAGAATATTGGGTGTGTGGCCTGGTCATTGGCATTGTTAAAATAAAACATTCCCAGGTGATTCTTGCCTCTTAGGGGGAAAATGTTTCATCTGTATTATGGGGAAGCAATGGACGGGACATTAACACAAATTAATTGCTTTGGAAAAAACAGCATCCCCAAGGCCAGAATATGGTGCCAGTCAACTTCCTTGCTTCCCTGGTGGCTGAGATGGTAAAGCGTCTGCCTGCAGTGTGGGAGACCCAGGTTTGATCCCTGGGTTGGGGAGATCCCCTGGAGAAGGAAATGGCAACCCACTCCAGTACTCTTGCCTGGAAAATTCCATGGACGGAGGCTGGTAGGCTACCGTCCATGGGGTCGCAAAGAGTTGGACATGACTGAGCGACTTCACTTTCACTTTCTTTCAACTTCCTTAAGAAGCAGGAAGTGATCCATTGGAGCAGGTGGTGACAATTCCAAGATCCCTCTGCCGAGGTGTCCTGGTATCCTGAGTGTTCTTTCCAGCTCTGGACTGAGGTTCACTTTTGTACTAAGGAAGGTCTGCTGAGAATTTGGGGTCTTCCTCTGGGGCTCAGGGATAAAGAATCCACCTGCCAATGCAGGAGATGCAAGTTTGATCCCTAGGTTGGGAAGATCCCCTGGAGGAAATCACTCCAGTATTCTTTCCTGGGAAATCCCAAGGACAGGGGAACCTGGCGGGCTGCAGTCCATGGGGTTGCAAAGAGTTGGACACGACTGAACACATGAGCACGTGCTGAGAATTTGATGAGCTATCAACCCTTCATCCAGAAAAATATATCTAGCCACAAAATCACATCCACATTTCAGGGGGTTCATGGACCCCTGAAGTCCATTCATGAGTGCCAGAACAAGGCAGGCTCTGTTATACCCACAGTACAACCTCCTTTGAGGGGCCCTCTGGGAGGGAGAGGCTTAATAAAGGAAATGGCACCTCCTTGGGATTTTTACTAATTGAAGTCTAGTTTTCAAATTTTTAAAATAATTTTTTATTGAAGTATAGCTGATTTACAATGTTGTATTAGTTTCAGGTATATAGCACAGTGATTCAATTATACATATATTTCTACTCTTTTTCAGATTCTTTCCTATTACAGGTTATTATAAGATAGACTATAGTTCACTGTGCTATACAGTAGGTCCTTGTTGCTTACCTGTTTTATATATGGTAATGCGTGTCTGTTAATCCCAAACTCCTAATTTAGCCATCCCCTTCTCCCGTTGGTGACCATAAATTGGTTTCCTGTGTCTGTGAGTCCGTTTCCTCGGTTTTAATGACTGGTCAGCGATGGGGCCGGGGAGGGCTGCGTGATCATGTCAGTGTTGACAGGTTGGCGGGCTTTCCTGCCAGGCCCAGGTGCCTTGGCACTTATCCTTAGCACCCCCCCAACTCTGTCACTTATTACCCCCTAAAAGAAACTTCCCTAAGAAGGAATTTTCATTGAAACAGTATTTGACCTCTCTGGCAGCTTGAGTTAAAAAATGCGAAGCTCAAAATCTCAGACAACCTGCTCCCTCTTTGCAGCTCCCAGGTCAGGCTGGTCTTGACAAGTGGAAATCTGCATTCCCGGCATTCTCTGCCCAGAAGGCTGCTCAGGTGTTTGAGGTCGTTGTCACCAACCAGTGCGTCCTGTCTCAGTTCCCCAACAGATGACTTTTCTTCATTTAACCGGAAAAGAGCCAACTGGAGGAACTGCCACGGCAAGCACTGACAGACACTAGACACACTCCATGTTACTTAGGTAAAGAAATAGCTATCTGGAGTCCCTGCGGATTGTGGGTGGACTCGGGGATCCACAGGACAAATCTGACCTGTCCTGTAGTCCAACGGGAGAGGTGGATCCATTCACCTTTCTGTCTGTCAGAGTTCTATCAGTTGTCATTTGTTCCCAATGCTCCTCCCTCCTTTTCTTCATGCCCACCCATCACCAGGAAGCCAAGGCTATGACACCTCTGGTATAAGTTTCGCTGAGGGAAGGAACTGATGTTACTGGGGCTTCTTGTTCCAAATGCACAGGTGCCTCAAGAGTTGTATGCCATCCAAGTTGGGCAACTCAGGTCGAATTTTAAGCACATTGAAGGAAATTTTCAATATAATAGAGCCAATCATTAATACTTGCTTAAATTAAAAAAAAATCCCTGTAAAGCACCAATAAGTAATAACTCCTTTTTGTATCTGTATCCAAGTGAGGATTTTTTTATATTATGGAATTGTCTTAAAGTAGGGCATATTTCCTTGTGTTAATGATGTCAATTTTATCCTCATCAAGCTCTACTATTGGATGACAAGACCCCGGGAAGTGTCAGAAATAGCCTTCAAACAGAAATGAGAAAGCTAAGTACCTAGCAAGGTTTTTCATCTTCTACTCAATATTTTGGAGAGCATTTGTGGTCAAGATGAAAGACCTTCTAACTTAAGGAGCTGAAATGCTGGGGTAAGTCACTTTGCCTATGTTTCTTGATCTTTTGAATGGAACTACTTTGACCTTGCCTGGTCAGGGTCAAGGTGAATACTGGTATGAGTGAGTGGAGTGTTATACAAGGGTCTGGTCCCATATGGCCAGAACTTTGGCTCCCTTATTCATCTTGTACACGGAATTTGGGGGTGACAGTTCAGAATAAACTTTTGGTTGAGTACCTTACAAGTAGAACCTCATAAACTTTATGAGAGTCCTTTAAGATTCCTGGGAAACAAACAAAAACAACTCTTTTCTGCCAAGTTCATTTTTCCTTTTTTATTGACTTAAAATGCTTTTCCAAAGAGGAGCTCTAGCTCACAGGTCCTGAGTTCCAGGTGTGCAGAGAAATTAGAGAGAAGGCCCTTGCTGGATTTCTTATTTATAGGCCTTTGCCATTCTTGAATTCATCTGATTAGTGACAGAAGGGAGTCCCACTTGACTAATTTTCACAAATGGTCATTCACTGTTAGGTGTTTATCACTCAGGGAGCGGTGCATAGAAAAGCCCTGTAGCCTCTGAAAGATGCTAGCTCCCCAGATGCCAATGGGAGACTGCTACAAAGTGATGACTGGGACAGTAACTGCAAGTGTGCTCAGATGCTAAGTCGTGGCCGACTCTTTGCGACCCTGTGGACTGTTATAGCCCACCAGGCTCCTCTGTCCATGGGATTTTCCCAAGCAGGAATACTAGAGTGGGTTGCCATTTCTATCTCCAGGGGATCGTCCCAACCCCGTGACAGTAATTACTGTCTAGTAACTGCCCCTCACTCCTGCACTGCATGGGGTGTTCTCCATACATCACAACCCCCCCCCCACAACAACCCCCCTTTTTCATACCTATAGAGAAACAGATGCTGAGAGGTCATTTCTCCCAGGCTTGATATTTCAAAACCTCCAATCCAATCATTTCTTTCCTACAAATTTAAAGTTTGTTGATTTGAGGAGAAGATTTTAGAGCTCTTATCAGGGCTTTCCAGGGCTACAGAAAATATATTATTTACCCTTCCACTAAGCTCCTGGGAATAACTGGTTTGTGGAAGCCTGGTTTTGAAGCTTTCAACAGGGATTCTGATCTCTGCAAAGTTGATATGGTATTTGGGAAAGCCCTTCATGGAGTGGGTGCTCAACCAATCTGGTTCCTTTCCTGTTTTTTTGGCTTTTCATTTGGATCAATGAAAATTCATCTCCTTTTAAATTCTCATCTCTGGAGAAAGACTTGCAGGACACCCTTCAAGCCAAAATTCATTGACTAACCCTAACTGGCAGGAATCCTTTACTTCATGAATAAGACATTTTTGGAGGAAAATCAGAGGGGCGGTCACATGGGTAAGGTGTATGTTAGTACCTACTTCTGTTACGGCCTCAGCAAGGAGAAGGCAGGTGATGATAATGATGAA